GCGGAATATTTAGTAGCAAGGAAATGTCACGATCCCTGTACTTGCTTAGACATTTTTATTCCAGCTCTGGCATCCTATCCTTCCCTGAGCAAGGCGATAAATACAAACCATCTTCCCGAGATCTGTTCCAGTTCCTTCAAATTAAACATTTTTTGCAAACTCTTTCGTGGCAAACCCCTAATTTCACCTCTGACTACTTCCGAAAAAGCCCGGGGTCTTATCTCTTACTTTTACGCGCGGTTGGATGCCCTCCAGAAGGATCTCCCCTCTTACGCCTCCAAGTGGGCACGGGAATTCGGCTCCCCCATTTCTGAGGATACCTGGACCCAAATCTGACCGGCGACAGCTAAAAGTTCAGCGAATGTTCGGGCCGTGGAAGCTAACTTTAAACTATTAGTACAATGGTATTTAGTCCCCCCCTACGTGTTTCTCATGTGATATCCTCCCATTCCCCTTTATGTTTTTGGGTTGCTGGACGAAGGGTTCCTTCTTGCGCATATGGTGGAATTGTCCTAGGGTCAGGGGTGTAGGGTGTACCAGTTACTTTACACTGTATGGGGACTTTACAAAAAATCCTTTGGTAGCTTTATTGGGCAAAAATCTGAGATGTGCACCCAACGACACTTTTATCTTGACTGAAGCTAAACGGGTTATCCCCCCGCCTGTGGCGGCCCCCTGATGTTCCCTTTGATGAGGTCAAGTACAGAGTTTGGCAGGTTATGGTCTTTGAAAAATTGTCAGCAACTCAAAATGATGCGGTTGGCAAATTCAAGAAAATCGGGGATTGAGTCTTGCCTGCCCTCCTCCTTCCATAGGGACTCGCTGGTCATCTGACCTGTTCTCCCGGCCATCTTTTCCAGGTCTTTATGCCCTATTCTTGCTCCCTACCCTCCCCCCCTCCTACTCTCCCTTCTGATCCCTCTTCTCTTATCCCCTCTCCCTTCCCCATCCCTCTCTTTTTCTTTGAGAGAGAGATTTCCCCAAGGTCTTATTGGGGACAGCAGTATAAGAATTCCAGGGCTGATGGGTATAGCTGTCGCCTCTAGGAGTTGGATGCTAGGCAAAACGCAAGGCACAGCTCCCCCTAATGGGGATTTCTTGCATATTCTTACCATCCCAGTTTAGCTCAGGGTCCTCAGGAGGTAAGACGTCTCGCCGGTTCCGCTGGATCAAGACTATTAAGATGATCCTTCATGATTCTTCTCAATCCTGGATCTTTTCCCCAGCAATCTGGGTGACTCACAGTGTCATAGCGAACCCCCAGATTTATAAATTCACTGCGACAACCATTCTGCTCCTCTGTGACCTGCCAGACCCCCAGATTCTGACAGCTACTGCTGTGCCTGTTACTGGGGTCAGTGTTCTTACTGGACCCCTAGGTTTGGTTATACAGTGTACTGTACTGTGCTTTGCTTGTGGCCTGCTGGACCCCCAGATCCAGTTACACAGTGCTTTGTCCGGTATTGTGCTTTGCCTGCATCATACTGGACCCCCAGATTTGGTTACACAGTGTACTCTACTGTGCTTTGCCTGCATCATACTGGACCCCCAGATCCAGTTACACAGTGCACTGTACTGTGCGTTGCCTGCATCATACTGGACACCCAGATTCGGGTACACAGTATTCTGTACTGCACATTGCTTACGTCTTACTGGACCCCCAGATTCGGGTACACAGTGTTCTGTACTGCGCATTGCTTGCCTCATACTGGACCCCCAGATTCGGGTACACAGTGTTCTGTACTGCGCATTGCTTGCCTCATACTGGACCCCCAGATTCGGGTACACAGTGTTCTGTACTGCGCATTGCTTGCCTCATACTGGACCCCCAGATTCGGGTACACAGTGTTCTGTACTGCACATTGCTTGCCTCATACTGGTCCCCCAGATTCGGGTACACAGTGTTATGTACTTCGCATTGCTTACCTCATACTGGTCCCCCAGATTCGGGTACACAGTGTTCTGTACTGCACATTGCTTGCCTCATACTGGACCCCCAGATTCGGATATTATGTATAATATATTTGTAGTGTTTTTCATGGCTTGTTGATAGTTCTGTATTACCTTCCGCTCCCATTCTGTTAGATTCCTCCCTCGGCTCTGACTTCACATGGTTCTGTAATCTTTAATTCATACGTTGCCGGCGTGTTCTCAGGTCGTTAGCGCGGCCGTTTTCCTCGCTCGCTCGCCGATATCAGTACGCCGTGGCCTCTGAAGTCTCTCTACCTGCTCACAGGCAGTAAATCCCCCAGGGGTCGTTATGCTAATCCCCTCTCCGCACGGCTAGGGGCTGTTGTGACAGAATCGCTGATGGAATGTATTGCTTAGTAAACAAATAAAAACTCGATGCAATAGCCGAGTTGTGATCTAAAAGAAGAGAATAAAATATAACTCTGAGTAAGTTTGTGTTGCCGGCGAGTGCCGTGCCGATTGCCGGAGCGCCTGGAGATACCAGGCACCTCTTCAATAGTCTCTATTATACCGCGTCCTCCTGCTGGTCCTTCGAGGTTTACTCCTGTATTGAACACCTTGTTGGGGTTTGTTTAGTGTTTGAGCGACGATTTTAATTTCATCGTTCTGTCTGACTTTCCGGGGTGATGATGTCACAAACTACCCTGGTAGATAGAGCTGGGCCAAGAGGTAGGCAGAAGAGGCGGCTGCCCTGGGTGCTTTAGCTGGGGTGGGGGTGCGCAGAACGGGCAGAACTTGCAACCTATGGCGTTGAAGTAGTTCATCAGAAGGGGCGCGTTTTGTACCCTTTTGCCTTGGATGCTAAATTAAATTGTGCCAGTAGATGGATTTACACCTCACCATATGACGCATCCAATGGGGGATTCATGGGCCATTGTTTGTAAGGTCGGATTTATAGTATCAAACATGTCCACCATTCTTCTCCGGCCCGCTCTCTCTTCACTGTCTCTCATCTC